TTATATAACTACAATCACATTTATATAAATATACATATGAATTATAAATATATATGGAAAAGCAAGGCTTTACTCATATATATTTATATAACTACAATTACATTTATACAAATATGTACATATGAGGTATAAATATATATGGAAAAGCAAGGCTTCACTCATTTATCATTTTTATCAATCTTCAAAAATGCCAATAATCGTAAAATTTCCATGAAAGCTTACAAATTTGCCTGATGAGTTACAGCATGGGAACATCCTACTCGATCACTCTTTGTTCTCCAAAAAAAGATCTTACAACCCTCGTCATCCTAACTTTCTTCTACTATCTCTTCCCTGAGAATCAACGCAAGAACAAATATCGCAGCGATAAACATTCAAAGGAAGTCTCGCCATTGTTTGTTCACCTTTCACCTCCTCCCGCTTACACCACGAGTCGTACTCCTGATTTCAATTTATCGTCGAATCACGATAACCTGACTTTCGATTGCACTTTTTCAAACGCCCATTACCCCGGAGATCCGGCGTGGAGGGTGGCCGGATCGTTACCTACGGGTGTCGAGGTGGTATGATAGTCACGGCATACGTGATCAGGCGCGTGAGCGAACTGCCAAGGCACGCGCCGTGCCGGAGTACGTAATTATCATAGGGAAGTTAGGGTTGCCCTCGGACACATACACGTGTACATATACATATAAACATATATACTGTATGTACATACATACACATATGTATATAGAATATCGCAGTTATCAGGGTCCAAGAAGGAAATAAAAAATAAAGTCAAAATCATCACATGCGACTCTTCATTTTCATCAAGAAAATTCAGTTTGAAATATTTGCCAACTATAATCGAATGAGAATAATTCCGAAAATGGACAGAAGTGAAATAAGTAGAAAATAAAGAATAACATTTTTTTTTTTCTTTTACAAGACGTTTCCAAGAAAATTGAAAATTTCAAAATTTCGCGCACAAGTGCATTTTTAACGAAGCAAGTTTGAAGTCTGTATCTTTGGAAACGAAGGCTTTTCATCCGGAAACTTTCATTCTACATTTTTTCACTTGTTCCTGTACGTAGAATATCTCTTCAGTTCTGTTTTCAGTGTGCGCAGTAAATAATTGTAATGAATCACAATTGCAGCTGTGAAAAATTCTAATGAATTACAATGTTATCTAAATAATAATAAATATGTTCATAATAAATATTATGAATCATAATTGCAGCTGTGAAAAATTCTAATGAATTACAATGTTATCTAAATAATAATAAATATTATGAATCACAATTGCAGCTGTGAAAAATTCCAACGAATTACAATGTTATCTAAATAATAATAAATATTATGTTCATAATAAATATTATGAATCATAATTGCAATTGTGAAAAATTAATAATGAATTACAATGTTATCTAAATAATAATAAATATTATGTTCAAGTACACTTGAGAAAAACTCGATCCTCTCGAGAACGAAGTGTCAAGCGAGAAAAATTCTTTCGTTTCGATTATTTTTGCGTGTAGAATCGCACGGTATCGCGAAAGCTGAAACAGCCTGTATGTGCATCAACGTACGAGGTATACGTACACGTAAAAGAGAGGTCGAGGGGGTTGGTCGGCTCGGGTCAGGAAGTCACGCGAGGCACGCTCGCGGCGAACGTGGAAACAGGGAGGAGTACTTTTATTGTTCTAGCAGTTGTCTTAGAGTCGCTTTTCCTGGCCACTGGGCAGACCCGTTGAAAACGTGAGGTCGATATCCATGCTTGGACGAACCTCTTACCCTCGTGCGTCGGCTGTTCCTTTCGTGGAATATCTTCGACCTTTCGTGTGACTTTTCGATTGGGGATTCTTTTTTTTTTTTTTGAAGGATTTTTAGCTCTTTCTATGGCCACCTTCATCTTAATTCGAAAATTTAGAGAACGCATCCACAAAACCCGACGAATGAGCTAATATCTTTAGAAACATTCAATAGAAAAAGCGAATTT